TATATATGATATGTTTTTGCTGATTAAATAAAGTTTGCATAAATTGTTGAAGATAAATCTTAAAAGTTAAGATTTAAAAGGTTGTTTAAACTTGGGAAAAAAACCATAAATTTAAACATTCAACTCAATCTAAAATGGTTTGGAAAAGTTCTATTTAGTGATTAGAAAATAAATATAACAAAGACCGGCTATATGCTATATGGATTGCTTAGGTTTCCAACACGATTGAATTCGTCGGTTGCGAGCCTTAAACGTACATTCCATGGATCATTGACAATTGAAGGGAACAATCTATCAAGGTGTTTCTAAGCCTCACTGTCTATAGGATGTCTGATTATGTTATCATCGTTAACTCGCTTCTCCTTATGCCACCTCATGTCACAACGTATATCGCATGGATCCAAAACATCACAAGTCTCCCCATGTTATATATCTATCTATCATAACTAGTAGAAATACACTTTTGCATCAAATGCAAGAATACGGTGGTTTTATCATGGCAGCGAAAATTGTTGCAAGTTTTGCAAGGAATTTTGGATCACTCATCTTTGTCACGGTATGGAAAATTAAGAAATTATTTATCACCTAGTTCATATCTACAATCTTTTTTCCTATGAAAGAGAAGTACCCAAATGATTATGCTTTAATCCTCAGCCAATGCAGCTGGGAATAGGTTAAAAATAACAAAGGCAATAACCATGAGCTTTCAGTTTTTAATTGCCAAAATATTTGGTCGTTGAAGGCTACTTAAAATTTAGCATATGTAAGAAATTAAGAAAAAGATAAATAAATAAATAAACAAATAACTCCTGCCCGTCGCACTTAAAATTTAGATAAAAAGAAGATAAATTTAGCATATTTACTTCAAAATTCTAAAATTTAGTGTTTTTTTTATTAACCTGAATATCTAACCCGCTATGTGAGCCAACTAATCCCAGAGCGACCACCTGCTATGCAGATAGTCCAAAGTCACTGCATTTGAACCTCCGTGGCCACAAAGGGATTTTTATTTCTCCTTGGATTTGAACCTGGAACCTCCAGATACTTTTGACCTTTGGAGCTAAGACACCACCCTTACATAAATGTTAAAAACAAAATTTCATTTTATTAAGATTAATTAAGAAACTCTAAAAAACTGTTGTTCACAAAGAAAAGAGAAAAATACAAACTATGCGGCATGATATAAAGAATCAACCTAAGAAATGCTTCGAAAAAATAGACAACAAAAACCTAACTCTAAAACCAACTACAAAATTAAAAGTGCAATTTCTCAACAAATTAAGAACCCACAAAATATAAATCCAAGGAAATTATGCTAGAACCCAAAACCATGCCTATAAATATGATGGAACAAAACCACAAAGGTGTTGACTGGTTGGTTTGAACTTGGCTTCAAAGGTTAAAAGTACCTGGAGGTCCCAGGTTCAAATCCAAAGAGGAATAAAAATCCCCTTGTGGCCACAGAGGTTCAAATACGGTGACTCCGGGCTATTTGCAAAGTACCTGGGATTAATCGGCTCACATAATTGGTTAGATATCCAGGTTAATCAAATATATATATATATATATATATATATAGAGAGGAGCGATCAAATGAAAACCACTCAATTTGTAAAAACCGTAAAAACCTCATTCCACTAATCATAATTTTTCATTTTGTTCATATTTTTGTAATTATATGAGAGTAGTTTTTACGGTTTTTACAAATTGAAGTGGTTTTCATTTGATCGCTCCTCTATAT